ATATATATATATATATATATATATATATATATAGATGAACAGATGCTCAGATATATTCATCAATTAACACGGATTCCTCATTTTTCTGAACTGAATAAAACGTGCATTGAATTTAATGAAATGCAAACGTGAGACGTCATTTATATTTGACCCATCAAAATGAATGCGGTCATTTATTTACAGAATCAAAGTTTAACATCAAACATTTACATTAATTTGGCAAATTATGAAAATAACAACATAAGCAATCAATCAGGAAAAATCATACGGCCATGATTTTTCCGTTGCGTCACCACAGACATTTATGAAAACTGTACAATTATGATCTTTTACCCACACGGATGTGGATGAGCACTTTACACAGACATTTCTAAAATATCTGGAAGAATATCTACTTGATAGAAGAGTTTAAAGATGGGAAAGAAGTTTAGAGGGAGTAAGATGGTGTTTGAGGGAGTGTTGACAGAACGGCACTCTCCGGGCTTTCTTCAGCTTTTCCTTACAGTACACTTAGGTGGTGAAATCGACTCTTTTACCTGGAGATGTCTCAGGCGAGATTCCGTTTAACGCACCCATTCAGCGTCTCCGTAGGATGCTGTTACTCGTCCGGAGTAGCGGCGAGATTCTGTCGATTCTGTCCCTCACAGCTCACTTCAGTGGAAAATGTTATAATCCCATGAAACTCGGAAGAGCTCTGTTGTCATGTCAGGATCTTCCCGGCTCCCAGAACTGGGCTTCTCCGCACAGAACTGAACAGAACTGAACTCAACCGAACCGAGTAGAACCCTCACAGAACTGGTTAGACCAGGAAGTACCGACATTTTAAAGAGCTCTTTTCCCGGTTCATCTGGGAGTATTCCCATTGGCCAGAACCGACCAGACGGGGTGTGTTTTGTGACGTAAAAGGTTAGAATGCAGCAAGAATTGTTATGGAACAGATCAGAAATGTTCTCACAGACAGAGAGAGTTTTGTTTTGGCGAGTTTCAGAAACAGGTGCCAAAACCCCCTCTGTTGACGTCTGAGAGGATATAAACAAGACAGTTGTTCCAACGCATGTCTGCTTCTTCCTGACCCTGGAACGCACACTTGCATGAGAATTAAAAATCATTACACAGTTAATAAAATTGATTAGTTCACTGCAACATCTAAAATGGTTTGAACTAAGACACTTTGATTATCAACATCTGTAAAATAGTAATGATAATAAAAAAGAGAGTGTTCTTTCACTTGATTATCAAGAAAGAGAGTCTCAGGATGGGTGAACCTGTATCTCTGGATTCAAATCAATGAAATGACAGTTTCTGTCCCACAAGGTTCTTAAGGTCAAGGGTTTTGACCTTAGGCTTAGTCGTGACACCAGATTAAGTTCACTACATATATATACATACACATATATATATATACATATATATATACATATATATATATATATATATATATGACGATTCATTAGTTACATTTACAAATTTGAATCTATCAGATAGATGCGATTTAAACCAATTTAGAGCCGTTCCTGTAATTCCAATATCATATTCAAGCCTCTGTAGTAAAATATTGTGATCAACTGTATCGAATGCAGCACTGAGGTCTAACAGGACCTGTATAGACACAAGTCCATTGTCTGAGGCCATGAGAATATCATTAGTGACTTTCACCAGTGCAGTTTCAGTGCTATGATGAGCTCTAAACCCTGACTGAAACTCTTCAAACAGATTATTTCTTTGTAGATGTTCACGCAACTGACCTGCAACTATTTTCCCTAGACTTTTTGAGAGGAAAGTTAGATTAGATATAGGTCTATAATTGGCTAGGATTCCCAAATTAAGGTTATGCTTCTTAAGTAAAGGTTTAATTACAGCAACCTTAAAGCTCTGTGGTACATAACCCTTTATTAGAGACAAATTAAGCAGATCCAAGACGTTAATTAGATTAATTAAGGAAAATATGTCTTTAAACAGTCTGGTTGGGATGGGATCTAGCAGACATGTGGATCGTTTGGATGAGGTTATTATTTTTGACAATTCAGAGAGCTCATCAGGACAAAAACTGTCCAAACATAAATCAGGTTCTAGTGACATTTTTAAAGTTGTCTCATCAGACATGGAACCAGAGGCAATACTAGAAAGCATGGGCGTCAGAGCCATCTGTAATGTGGGGGGACACTATAGTGTGTGTGTACATGTGCGTGTGTGTGCGTGTGCGTGCACGCGCACCAGTGTACAAAAAAAGCAACAATTCTTTTAGTTTTTCTTTCTTTAATTCCTTTAGAACAACTCTTTAATGAAGCCAGAATGATGAGTTACAACATTTAATTTACCTTTGGGATTAATAAAGTATTTTTGAATTGAATTGAATTAAATGGGTTTCAAAACATCTAACTTGTTACAGTTTAACTTTGCTGGTATTTTGAGATCTATGATGATTTTTACACATCTTGCACTTCAAGTTGTTTGATTTTTCTTAAGTTTATCTTGAAATTTTACAATGTCACATAGTAAATTTTAGAACTTCGTAGACATTTGATGTGTCCCTCACAGTGTCAGGACTCGTGTTTTTCTCCTAAATGGCCCAGTGTTCCGAGTTGTGTCCCACCTGGTGATAATCTGCAGCTCTGATTGAATTGCTGCAGTAATCTCCATTCTGTGGGACTGTGGCGTTCAAAGACTGATGTGCATGAACCAGAGAAGCTTTTAATATCACGGACAGAGGTGACACCAGTCTGTGAGGTGCCTACAGTTATTCCACTGAACTATGATGGGCGTCTGATTTACATCACATCTGTGGAGTCATTTAGCAGCTGGACGTGTTTGGTCTGTATTCATGCTTATGTGTTCAAGTAGACGGAATGTCTAATAATAATGTTCAGCCTTTGGTTTGAGTCAAAATAGTTTAGAATGAATAAACATTGAGTTATATAAGCTCTTTACTAGATAAATAATCATTACCGTAATTGACAGTCTATAATGCGCACTCAAATATTAGCTGCACGGACTAAAAAACGAACAAACAAAAAGTGTATACAGAAGCTGCGTCAGTGTATAAACAGCAGGTGTTCATGTTGTAAAACGAGTGGCAGACCAAAAAGCTAAAAAAATTTGTCGGCAGGAAGCTTGTTAGTCCATAAAATAAATAAATCCATAAATTAACCACAGCACTGTACACCGTGGGGTTCAAAGCCTGTGAAAAAGTAACGGCTTATAGACTGGAAGTGCGGTAGTTGTGTGAATGCTGAGTCATGCTGTTTTACTGTGTAAAGTTGCTTTCAAACATTTTGTGGACTGTAACTACTTTAGCATGCTTGCTTTATTTTAGCTTTTAGCTGTCATTTTGTACATGTTAACTTTTAACTACTGCTTTGCAATGTTTAGCTTTTAGCTGCTGCTACTTATCAGAACTTCTATCTACTGTTATTTAATTTTAGATTTTAGGTATTGTTTAGCTTGCTTTAGCTTTTAGATAATGTTTTGATCATATTAGCTTTAAATTGCTATTCAGCTTGTTTTAACTT